GGAAATGGCAACCCACTCCAGTATTCTTGCCTGGGAAATCCCATGGACAGAGGAGCCTGGCAAGCTCCTGGGGTTGCAAGAGTCGGACACAACTGAGTGACTAAACACAAGGCAACTTCAAATTACACAGAATGAAGACTGACAGAACCTCAAGGAAAGGTAGATACATTCAAAGTTTTAGAGATTTCTAGCACCCTTCTCCCAGTGATTAATACAAGTAGACACAAATCAATAAGCATATAAAAGACCTGGGATTTCCCTGGTGATCCAGTGGCTAAGATTTCATGCTCGCAATGCAGGGGCCCTGAGTTCAATCCCTGGTCAGGGTACTAGATCCCACATGCCGCAACTAAGGTAAGAGTTTACACGCTGCAACTGAAAGATCCCACATGCCACAACTAAGACCCAGCACAGCCAAATAAATTGTCTTAAAGAGTATAAAAGACCTCAACATTTATCAACCAACTTGACAAACTGACACAGAACCCTCCACCCAACAAAAGTAGCATACACATTATTTTCTTTTTTTAATTTATTGAAGTATAGTTGATCTACAATGTTATGCCAATCTCTGCTGCAAGCAGTGACTCAGTTATACAACATATGAACATTCCTTTTATATTCTCTATTAAGGTTTATCCCAGGATGTTGAATATAGTTCTTTGTGCTATATAGTAGGACCTTGTTGTCCATCCTATCTGTAATAGTTTGCATCTACTAACCCCAAACTCCCAGTCCAACTTGGCAACCACAAGCCTGTTCTCTATGTCTGTGAGTCTGTTTCTATTTTGCAGATGGGTTCATCTGTGCCGTATTTTAGATAACACATGTAAGTTATGTCATAAGTATTTGTCTTTCTCTTTTTGACTTCACTTAGTGTGATCATCTCTAGTTGAATGGATGTTGCTACAAATCACATTTTCATTTTTAACGGCTGAGTAGTATTCTATTGTGCCACCTATTCTTATCCATTCCTCTGTCAATGAACTTTTAGGTTGTCTCCATGTCTTGGCTATCGTGAGTAATGCTGCTATGAATACAGGGGTACATGTATCTTTTTAAATTATAGTTTTGTCCAGATATATGCCTAGGAGTGGGACTGCTGGATCATAGGGTAATTCTATAATATTTTTAGTTTTCCTAGGAACCACCACACTGTTTTCCATTGTGACTGCACCAACTTACATTCCCACCAGCAGTGTAGGAAGGTTCCCTTTTCTCCACACCCTCTCCAGCATTTGTTATTTATAGACTTTTAAAAGATGGTCATTCTGACTGGTGTGAGATGGTACCTCATTGTAGTTCTGATTTGCATTTCTCTAATAATTAGTGATATTGAGCATCTTTTCACGTGTATATTGACCATCTGTATGTCTTCTTTGGAGAATTATCTATTCAGGTCTTCTGCTCTTTTTAGATTGGATTGTTTTTTGTTGTTGCTGCTCGTGTATGAGGTGCTGGTCTGTTCTGGAAATTAAGCCCTTGTCTGTTGCATCATTTGCAAATATTTTCTCCCATTCTGTGGGTGCCTTTCTGTTTTGTTTTCTTTATGGTTTCCTTTGCTGTGTACATGTTATTTTATTTATAATCTCATGCCTGGTCTCTCTGATGACCAGCCCCGATCCTGGGTCATCTCATCTCTTAGCATAAGCTCAGATGTGATCCAAGGGGCTGGTGAATAATAAGGACACTCCCATTACTGAGGGCAATTCCAAGGATTTAGAATCTCTCCACCAGGAACAAGAGACAACAGCCAAAAAAAAAAAGAGACAACAGCCAGTCAAGTTATTATACAGCAACCTCAAATCCACACCTCCCACAACTCCCTCCCCTCTTTAAACAAAGATAAAATCTGGGCCCATTGCTGGCTAGTTTTGTTTCATTGTTTTTAAGTTTTTATTATAAGAATTTTCAAACAGAGACAACAGTAGAAGGAATAATATAGTAAACCCTCATATTTCCATCACTGTTTCCTTGATTACTCAATTGTGGTTTATTTACCTTTTCACTCATACCCCTCCCCTGCCTCCCTACCCTCATCCTCAGATCATCCTGAAGCAAAGCCCAGAAGGACATTTGGCTGAGAATTCATGGCAAGCTTCCTGAGGGGCTGCCCCACCCAAGCAGCCTCAAGTAGGCTCCAGCTCTGCTGAAATCTAGCAGGCAGCTGAGTGCGGAGCACCCAGAGGCCCTTGGGCACCTCATTTGCTGACTCCTGCATGACAGTTAAGGAACACTTTCTACACACACTGCAATGTGTGCAAGAACACCAAACACCACTTTATTGCATTCAAAGCTTCTAAGGCACGTAAGCCAGCCTTGGTCCTGATATTTCTCATGCCTTTCAGAGGAATAGTGTCTACAACACTGATTATGTCCTAAAGAATCAACGCATAAAAAAACAAGCTCAAGAACACAGGCTTAAATACTCCTAAATAAAATCAATTCAGGGTCAGACACAATAAGGTAAGAAATAATGTATCAGTATTATTTATAGATCACAGACCCATCTCAGAATAATTAAAACAGGCAAACCATTCAACCAGTCTTTGAACAACAAAAACTTGACCCCAATCTTTGATTTATCATGCCAGAGTGGCAGAGACAGTCCCTGCTACCTAGGTTGGGAGAATATTTGTATGTTTATCTGGGAAGTTCTGACCCTCCCCCAAGGTACCAGGAGGCATCTACAAGGTACCTCCTCCAAGATGGGATGGCAGGAGCAGTGAGTAGATTCATCCAATACCTGCCCATCTGACTTAACTCTGCAAAACAGGAAGTCAAATGAACGCAAAGTTCCCCCAAGTCTAGGACTTGAGCACTGAGTACCAGCCCTGCAAGGCAAGAGGGGACACAAAGTCTCACTATTGGACACAGTATGGTTCGAGACAGCGAGGGTTAGCTCCTTAATTCATGTCTCCAAGGCACCCGCAGAGGCCTCAGCTTGGGTTACCTGCTCACCTTTCATCACAAGAGGGGCTCAGGCTCCTCCATCCTGAGCTGGACGATACACTGTCAGGGAAGCGCCCCCCCGCTGCCCTCATTTCTAGAGCAGAGCCCAAGTAGGACCTGTGGTTTAATCTTGGGCATTCTCCTCCTAATTCAGCTGTTTCCCAAGCACGAACTGGCTCTGAACAAGGCTTTTGTTTCAGGAGATCAAGGAAGGTGCTTTGAACCATCTCCAAAAGCAGAGAAGAATCACCAAAGAATTTTTCTTCCTAGTAGCAAAGGAAGAAAATCTTTGAACACCCACAGTTCAGCTACTGCAGGGGATCTTCCCTACAAAGGTGAGTTCTCTCCCAAGGAAGTAAAAGTTTGTGTTGGAAGATGACACAGACCAACACTTCTGTCGAGAACATCAAGTGCTCCAGGCCTGACTAGAATGCCTGGGGACCCAGCACAAGACCAGAGATGAACTGACGTAACATCGAACATCTTTACGGAAAGGCTGGGGTGCGTGTCTCCAATAGTATCATCTTGTTCAGACCCTAAGGCATAAGGAAGCTGACTTCAGCTCCCCAGTTGGGCAAGCCCGGAGCGAGACTTATTTCATCACAAGCCGTTATACTGCTCCCACCGTGGGGATGAAAACTTATATTCTGACAAGGTCAGGATATCAGGAGCTCGGGAGATTCCAGCCACCCACTCCCTCTAGCCCTCAGTGGGCTGAGGCTATCTCCACTGCACAGAAATGCTGCAAGAAAAAACAGTGCCTTGTACTTGAGCCTGGCAGCTGGTTTCCTCCCTGGTTTCAGCCTGTCTGACCCTTCTGGTCAATTCCTGCATCTGCATTTGGCTCACGTGAGGAAGAGAGGAGAAAGGGTTTGGCCCTCTCTGACTCACAAGAGGACCAGCGCTGGGTTGAAGAGGAATGTTGCTGCTTCCCGTGGATCTGCTAGCAGACCCTTCTGGCCATAGGTAGGCACCCCAGCAGGTGACGAGGGTGGCCTCGGAGGCAGCCGCACCTGGCCTGAGTGACAGCAGGCTTAGCTAACCGTTGAGCTTTGCTGGCCACGGTGGGATCTCCACCAGCCAGGGCAGGATCTCACGATCCTGGAGGATGGAGGCTACCACTGAGGAGAGCAATCAGTCAGAAGGCAAGATGCTCTGATAAGCAAAACTGCCAACTGCTAACACCCTCTTATCTATGGGGGACCGCTGCCCCATGGCCTGCGCAACTGGAAGGGTCTGGGGCTGCAGTCGAAGCCAAAGGCATCTGTGGAAATGCCTTTCATAATACATGGGAGTGGGAGGGGCTTGTGGCCTCATGAGGACCAGGTCATGCTGACCCTGAATCACAAAGTCAACACAGGCTGATTCAGACTATGGTTTGAAATCTCAGACCGAAAGGATTCCTGTTGGGACTCAACATTTTAAAATCGTGGATGGGGTGATGAAGTGCAGGACAGGAAGGCACCTGGAGGGGGTAAAGGACATATTTCTTTGGGAAACTCTGGTCTGGATGGAGACCTGTCACTTCCCTCGAGCACAGAAAATCACCAGAAGTCTGAGCATTCATCCCAACTCCTGCATGGAGGCAGTGGAGAGGAATGAAATTCACTGACTTTGGCTTTTTTTTTTTTTTAATCTACAGAGCTGAATAGCTCTACAAAGAGTCATCAGAACTCCAAGATTTGAAGGCTACTTCAGAGAGCAAAGAAGCAGGCACCAGAGGCCTGAGGAAGAACTCACAGTGGCTACAGATTATGTCCAGCAGGAAACGGCCACTAGTGACTTTAACTCCCCAGAGACCCACCCAGCAGCCTGGAGATCTACCAGAACCGATAGGGGGTAGGGGGGAGGCATCCGGCCAGACAGGCACCAGGAAGTGGGAAGCTTCCTCACCCACAAGGCAGATACCCCACCCCTGTCCCTGGCCAACCCCGACCTCTCATCCCATCTGCCCAGCCTCCCACCCTCAGCAGCTGCCCTCCCATCCCTTTGGCCCTGGGGGACCTGGGGAAGCGCGCGGGAGGTCCAGCCGAGCATCCGTGGCCAGCCTACTTGGAGGAGCAGATGGAGAGCGTGGCTCCCGTGGAGAACAGCCAGAAGGCTGGGTACACAGCCTCGGTGAAGTCCACCTTGTACTTATACAACAAGTGGACCTTGTCAGCCGCGGCGAAGAAGAGGACAAAGCCGTGATCGCAGTTGAGAAGCACCCCCACCCGCGTGGCCTTGGTGGAGGGCAGGGTTTTCTCCACGTTGTTGTGCCAGGCGGAGATCTTGGTGTTGAACCACTCCACACACCAGGACGCGCTGTTGCGGCCAAGCCGGCTCTCGGGGCCCTGCCGCTCCATGCTGCCGTAGCAGATACCCACCCCGCAGAAGTTGTTCTTCTGCAGCTCCACCTCCCAGTAGTGGATCCCTTTCTTGTAGCAGTGCAGCCCCAACACTTGCGAGCAGTATGTGAACCTCTGGGGATGTGGCCGGTAGTTCAGGGACGTGTCAGCCACGGACGCAACGGTGTAGTTCTCGGACAGGGCCACCTTGTTGTGAGCGGTGTTGTAGTCCAGGACAACTTTAACAACATCTAAGGAAGCATCAAGGGGTCAATCATGAGGCGCTCCAAACACTCTCACCTTTAATCCCCTCCCTAGCTGGTAATATTTATTCATTTGTTCTACCCACCCATTCAACCACCCTTCCATCCATAAATGCATCCAGTCCATTCATTCTGTCTAGCTCGTCAGACATCTGTCCATCTCTCTAACCACCAACCAAGCCATCTCTGTGTCTATTAGTCACCAATCTGTCTGTCTATTCCTCCACCCAAAACCATGTACTGAGCCCCTGGCTTATGCCAGGTTCTATACAGGACACACAGCCATGAACCAGACGTGGTGCCTGGCCTCGTGGAGTTCACACTCACAGAAGGCAGGCAAGCCCATCAGTAATGACAACAGTGAAGACTCCACACTCCACTAAAGGGCAGGCACTCTGCTGGAAGGACACAGCCATGGGGGCAACGGGCCAAGGGAGGGGAGAGCACAGAGGAACACTTACTTCATGGGCAGACTGGCATCTGAGCCAAGCGAAAGGGAGATGAGAAGAATTAAACAGGAGAGCAGAGGAGGGAGAAAGGCTACGCTGGACAGAGGAGACAGTGCAGGCAAGCATGGAGTCACAAGGAAGGCAGACATGTGCCAGGACCAGGGAAGGCCGGGCAGCTGGGAACACAGAGGCCACAGCAAGAGAAGAGGGACCCCTGGAGCCACGAGTCGTAAGTCAAAGGGTCTCGACTTTAACTGGTGGCAGCAGGCAGCCAGCTGAGGTCTGCCAAGCACATCAATGGCCTGAAGAGAATCCTTGACTAGGACACAAGCCTGGCCTCCACCTCCTCCGCAGGGCACAGCCCTCCCTGCCCTTCCACTCGCCAAGGACCCTGAACCAGGGCAGACAGGGAAAATCCCACACTTGCGCTTGGGAACTGGGAAGCTAGAGACCAGGGTTCTCTGCCACCCCCTGGCTCAGTGGCCCAGGGAAAGACACTTTGCACCTGGCCCTGGGCTTCCCCCAGGGCAAAATGAATGGCCTGGGAAAATGTCCTCTGAACACCGGAAGCCCCTAGAACTCGTTTCTCCTGCTTAGACAGCTGCACCGCAGAGCGCAGGGGGCTCCACAAACCTGTGGCTCAGCACCGCCCCCAGCAGCCTGGCAGCAGTCACGGGGGCTGGGAGCAGGGGGAGGCCTTTCCCAGCCAGGAAGCTCCAGGGAGGCCGGCCCTGAGAACCAGGAACCACAGCGCCAGCAATGGGTGAACCACGCCCACTGCGCCAGAACCACGCCCACAGCTCCAGCAATGGTGAACCACGCCCACTGCGCCAGAACCACGCCCACTGCGCCAGCAATAGGTGAACCACGCCCACTGCGCCAGAACCACGCCCACAGCGCCAGCAATGGGTGAGCCACGCCCATGCGTCAGAACCACGCCCACAGCTCCAGCAATGGGTGAACCACGCAAACTGAGCCAGAACCACGCCCACAGCTCCAGCAGCGGGTGAACCACGCCCACTGAACCAGAAACACGCCCACTCCGGCTGTGGGGAAAGGAGGGCCAGAGCGTGCAGAGAGGGGTTTGGCAGCTGCAAGGAAGTGAGAACCAGGGGAGGGTGCTCCGTGAGTGAAGCTATGGGTAGCCCGGAGGCCTGGCCTGGAGGAAGGAACTCCCACCACTTCCAGGCTGGAAGCCACAGGAGAGCAGTAAGGGCATGACAGAGCAGAACACAGTGGGCTCTCCAGGGAACAGGCTAACCACACCAGACAGAGGCAAGGACAAGCAAGGCAGCAGCTACTCACACTCCAGGAGCTCCGGCCTGGACTTGGTTAGGAAGTTCTCCAGCACCTTGGTGGTGAGAGATGCTGAGGTCGGCGGCACAGGAGGGGCTTTGGCTGCACCTGGAGGAGGAACAGAAAATCATTTTCTAAACAAATTCAGAGTAGGCATACCACTGTCCACGGCCCACTGGAACTTACCCTCCTGGACAGTTTGTTTGAGATTCACTAAGTGTTCCGAGGATCCAAAGGTGACAGGCTTGTTGAGGGCGGCAGAGGCTGAGATAAGAGAAAAGAGGTATGAGCTGGGGAAACGACAGAGTGACCTGATGGCCTGGGATCCCTCCCACACCATTGCTCAAGAGCTGCCTCCACAGACACACAGCTAGACAGCCAGGGCAACACGCATCGTACTGGTCTCATGCCTGTCCACGTATCCTCACCCCCAAGCCCAGACCTGGCGGCCAGCACAGGTCAGAGTCGTGAAGCCCAGGCCCATCTCAGACACCCCCCACACACCAGCCCACAGCCCAGCTTTCCCTGCTGGCTTTTAGTTCCGCACTCAGGCACTCAAGGAACTAAAAGACACAGACATGCATAACTTACCAGGTTTCCTGGGCTTCTTCTCTTCTTCTGAAAAACAAAATTTTCAGAATTAAGATGTTTCAAAGCACAACACAACCACACTTTCAAACACCATAATAATAATTGCTACCTGAATGTGGCCCATACAAATAAAGCTAGTATGTTTTAATTTGAAAAATATAAGGGGGTCAACAGGCAAATTAATCTATGGTCATACATCATGGTTTTGGCGGGGAGGGGCTAACAAGGAGCATGAATGGATTTCCTTGTGAAATGGAAATCTTTATCCCAATTTGTGTAATAGTACAACTTAGCAGCAGCAGCAGCAACACAGATGTATGCGTTTGTTAATCTAACTGTGCTTTTAAGATCTGGACATTTTACTGTAGGTAAATCATATCTCCACTAAAGAAAAAATGCAAAAACAAACACACACAAAAAACCCACACAGAAAGCCAGCCAAAAAAAAACATGCTTGCCAGATATCACAATAGTCTTTATAAAGTATCTGGAGTGTTATATCTATGGGAACTGAGTTTAGCTAAAACAACTGTCTTCAAAGCACACGCCCCAAGTCAGCAGCATCAGCGTCACCCGGGCAGCTGTAAGGAATGCAAATTCCCAGGCCCCTCAGACCTGCTGAAACTAACAGTCTGCATTACAAGCCACTGGACTCTGACATGTGCTCAAGTTTGGAAGGCCAGAAGATTTCGGGTCCGCTCTTCACCACCACAACTGAAATGAAAAGGGGAGTCCTGGATCTCATCCCTGCCGGCCTGAGGACCCTGCACATTCCAGACCAGCCCCACCAGACCCGCCCACGGCCCACCTGGCCCCCGGCCACCTCTTCCTCTCCCTCCAGAGCCCCGTCTCTCAGGGGTCATTTTCACTCTCCCCATCTCCCCAGCTGCTTCTCCCCGCGCCCACTCCCACTGGACCAGCATCTTGGGAGGACTCCAGGCTGTGACCGCAGCTGTGGGCACAGGGCCCCCTCCCAGTGACCACAGGAGGCTCACCCACACTGTGACAAGTCCACCCACGAGCCAGCCTGATGCCAGCATCCTCGGCTCACGCATGCAGAGCAGGCTTGCGGAGGCGGGCAGTGGGAAGGAGGCTTTCTGGGCCCGTGCCTTGGGAAGGACACAGTTTACAGTGCAGGTCACCTCCTCTTCACATCGGGTGCCCATGCACATGTTCAGGCTCCCCGACGCCTCCCTCCTCCCCTGCCCCAGGCATCCCAGCCCCTGACTACACTCCACTCAGAAACCACACACTTGTCTGCCAAAGACAAGCACTAAATACTAACAATGAGCAAACAACAACAAAAACTAGGGCAGCATCCTCTCAGCCCCTCACCACCCCATGGCGGCGGGCAGCCCTCCTCCGTCCTCACTGACTGTTTCGGTCAACAGTGTGATGACATTTATTGCTGTCCAGTAGCTCAGTTCTGTCCCATTCTTTGCGACCCCATGGGCTGCAGCACACCAGCCTCCTCTGTCCTTCACTGTCTCTCGGAGTTTGCTCAGATTCACGTCCATTGAGTCTGTGATGCTTTCTAACCATCTCATCCTCTGCTGACCACTTCTCCTCCTGCCCTCAAGCTTTCCCAGCATCAAGGTCTTTTCCAGCGAGTCAGCTCTTCACTTCATTCGGCCAGAGTACTGGAGTCTCAGCTTCAGCATCAGGGACATAAGCCTGGCCTTTAAAGAGCTTTCACCATCAGTGTCCCACATAAACCTCACACAGCAATCCCATGAGGTCAACGCCATTATGGTCTGCATTTGACAGATGAGGAAACTGAGGACCATTCTTCACCCAGTCCCCATCTCAACAAGGGTTCCAACATCCCCAAGTGAAAGTGAAAATGACAGTCACTCAGTCACATCCGACTCTTGGACACTCCCATGGACTGTAGCCCCCCAGGCTCCTCTGTCCATGGAATTCTCCAGGCAAGAGTACTGGAGTGGGTTACTATGCCCTTCTCCAGGGGATCTTCCCAACCCAGGAGTTGAACCCAGGTCTCCTGCATGGCAGGCAGATTAGGTACCATCTGAGTCTAGAGCCCATTACCCCCAAAGTAGGGGACAAAAATTGATTCTTAGGGGCTCAGGAAGAGGTAAGGAAGGAAAAATCTTGTTCTTTTTATGGATCAAAGCACCATATGTAAATAGACACACCATATGTGGGGTATTAAACTTCATGTATGGGGTGATTTGGAAAATTTTGCCTAAAAGGGCTTCAGAGGTAAAAGCAAAGGAGGGTAATAATGGAGAAAAGGCTGAGAGGCTTTGTGAGGGCTGACTCACGTCACACCCGGGACTGAAGAGAGACAGCCTCTTTTCGGGGTGATGCTCCTGGGCCAGAATTTGGCGTCACGTAAAGTATTTCTCAAGACGAACCAGCTTTGGTCACCTTGCTGTCCCGGGCAGTGGAAATATCCAGTGCTGGTGGCTGGTCCTCCCAGGAGCCCTGCAACCTCCCCGCATCAGGGTCGGTCGGTACTTGCCCCGAGACGCTTCCGGGCGCCCCCCCACCCCGAACCCGGGCTGGGCCGGGCCCCCTGGGGAGGAGCCGGGACGCCCTCCGGTGCCTGAGCCTGAGCGCTGATAACCACAGCTGCCACCACCCACGGGCACAGAGGCAAGACTACTTACTCAGGGGCTTCTTCACAGGCCGGTGGGTCTTCGGGGTATGTGGTCCACAGTGTCCTCCAGCGTCCCCTGGGCCAAAGAAGGAGAGGTTAGTTTAGGCGGCTCTTCCACACCAAGCGAGGAGCCAGCCTCACGGTGGAAGGGTAGCAAGCTGCAGGGAGCTTACTGAGGTGATTCCCAGCAGCATTCCCCGCTGATCACTCACAAGGACTAAAAACAAGGCAACAGAAGCACAAGTTGGGTGTGTTCCCTCACTTCTCTGCCTTAAAAGGTAGCTGGGGTGCAGTCTCTTCCCTGCCAGCGGCCCGCTCCACAGCCGCTGACCCGTCTGCAAGCTGCACTTGCTCGCCCACACCGCGGGGAGGACTCCTCACCCAGGGGGCAAGACCAAGGTGCCCGCTGTGTCCAGGAGGTTCCCTTCCCCCGGGAGTCTCTCACCACTCATGAGCATGGACGTAGCAGGAAAAGAAACACACGGGGCTAATGCACCAAATTAGCTTTCCCCTCGGCCACGGCCGCAACACCCCGGTTGACGAGGCTCTTCAGCAGGGCCACTTGGCCGACCAGGCTGGGACTCAGGCCTGCTCCCTGGATTACAGACCAAGACCCATCGCTGGGGACAGTACTAGATGAAAAACAGACCCAGCCCCTGCTCTCACGGATCACAGTCTGGCAAGGGAGACAGAGGGTGATGGCAAGGAAGAGTACAATGACGGGAGCGAAGGAACTTCCCAGGTGCTCCAGTGGTTAAGAATCCACCCTGCAAAGCAGGGGACGCGGGTTCAAGCCCTGGTTGGGGAACTAAGACCCCACAGGCCTTAGGACAACTAAGCCTGTGAGCCTGGGCACTCCAGGGCCTGCAAGCCACAACTAGAGGATCCGTGCGTCTCAATGCAAGAGCCCGCGTGATGCAACTAAGACCCGATGCAGCTACATAAATAAATACTCTTTTTTAAAAAATGACAGGAGCAAAAAGGGCCCCAAGGGAAGGATAAGGACCCTGGGACCTTGTCTAAGGAGCCAGACTGGCAACAGGGATGTTTTGCTGAGAAATGTAACGTTTCAACTGATCTCCAATGAAAGACAGGAGTTATCTGGTGGAGTCTGAGCCCTCTAGGCGGGGGAGGATCGGGGGTGTGTGTACAAAGACCCTGTGGGGGGAGGTTAACATATTTGAAGACTTGAGCATAAAGGGATGGATTGGGGGGAGGAGGCCACTTCAGGGCTGGAGAGGTGGATGGGGCCTGATCAGGCAGGGGCTTAACAGCCAGAGTTGTGGTCTGCAATCTAAACAAAGGAAATTCTCTGAAGAGGAGGCAGGGGAGAGGGTGCCAGGAGAGCAGACCGTCATCCTGAGACACTCTCTCCAGCTGTGACGGGAGCCGCTGCAGAGGAGCTCGTTAGGAAGTTGCTGCAGGTGATTTAACAGAGAGCAGCCACGTGGTGGCTGCAGTGAAACGAGCTGAGTCCAGAGATATTTAAGAAGCAAAATCTGACAATGGGTTGGATATAAGCAGAAGGGCAAGGGGTGGTGGTTGTTTAGTCACTAAGTCATGTCCAACTCTTCTGCAACCCCATGGACTGTAGCCTGCTGGGTTCCTCTGTCCATCGGATTCTCCAGGCAAGAGTACTAAAGCATTGCCATTTCCTTCTCCGGGGGATCTTCCCAACCCAGAGATCAAACCCACGTCTCCTGCTGGGCAGGTGGATTCTTTACCACTGAGCCACCCAGGAGGCCCCAGCGTAGGGGGTATCAAGAAAGAATATCATGTTTCTCTGACCTCCAAACTAGCCACTTCCTTACCAAACAACAGTGACAACCCAGAATCCATTCAGCCCATCTGAGCCAACCTCAGACTCAGACCAAATAAAAGCCTATCCAGAAAGGCCCATCATAACACCTGGCCAAAAAAGACATCTGAGGAAGGAAGGCTACAGTCTCAGGATGAGGTGAAGCCCCCCCACCACCTCTTAGATGAGGGCAGTGGTCTTGTAACATCTGAAGTTCAAGCCCCAATGCTCCAGAGCAGGATTTCCTTTCCTGAACCACAGAGGGGACCCATCCCGTTTCCAGAACCCCAGTGGAAAGCCTGGGAGGCTGCCGATGGTTACCTGGGACGGTGAGCTCCTCGGGCTTCTTGTCCTGGGGCTGTCTGAGGCACCGCTTCAGCTCATTCTTCAGGTCGGAGGTGCCCTGACAGACCTCCTTAATCAGCTCGTGGTTCAGCTCCACCTTGGGGACGAAGACTGGCTTCGTGGTGATTCCCTGCAGTTTTGTCGCTTTCTGCAATGAGGCAGGGGGTTAGTTCAGGCAGCTCCAGCGAAGCTAGAGCCCAGGCTCAGGCCTCATGAACCCTGGAAGGAGCTTCCCCGTGCCCGTGGGCAAAAAGTCTAATCAGCCTCTCAAAAGTGGCTGGGGGTTGACGTGCCACTTTAAGACACAGCCATCTGGAGGTGGAAAAGCCCTCGCCTTCCAAACGGAAAAACTGCAGTCAAGAAATGACAGGTGTCCTGCCAGGACCTCTGCCAATTAGTAGCAAGGACAAAGCTGGGACCCAGGCCTCCTAACCCATGGATAATGCTCTTTCCATCACCATCGCCCCTCAAAGACCAGCTCTGAATGCATGTTCTGAAAACAGAACAGGAAGGCCTGAAGGGCTCAGGATTCAGCCACACATCCAATGCAGGAGAAGAATCTTACAGAAGGCTTCCCAAGCTTGGAGACCAGAACAGATCATATGGCATCAAGAGGCCCAGATGTGGACTCAGAATCCTTCTGGGAGACCTCGAGGCAGCTGGGTCAACAAACAGGAGTGGGCACGTGAGAAGAAAATGCCATCCCGCCCAGGCATGGCTAGAAGACCCTGCACACAGGAGGGAAGGTTCCTGGGCACTGCTGTGCCTCCCCAGGACCTGAACGTGGGATCTGGGCCTTTGAGGTGTCAAAGCAGCATGCCACCCAGTCAGCAGGGCTCCCGAAGACACCCATTGTGTGCCCGGCACTCTGCTGTGCACGGACGTGCCGGGAGGGTGAAGGGCCCCTCTTGAGAGGCGCGGGCAGCCTTCAAAACAGACAAGAAAACAAGCACGTCTAGACTGAGGTCGTCAAGGGAGAGAGCAGAGGTCGTCAAGGGAGAGAGCAGGGATCGCCAGCAGTGGGAGAACAACAGATCCCAGGAAGACGGGGGAACTGGGGCTGCCTGGACAAACGACAGGGTTTATGAGGCAGAGGGAGGCTTGGAGACCCCTGCCCACGCTCAGGGCCTCTGAGGAGCGTCCTGCTGTGGTCAGAGCCCCAGGCACGGGCTGGGGGTGGCTCGCAAGAGATAAGGCTGCTGGCAAAGGCAGGCAGGTCACCGAGGGCCCTATGGGCCACGCAGAAGAACATGAAGTCAGGAAGGGTGCGGAGGGTTGTCCACGCTGTAGAAAGATACGTCCGGGGACCATGCAGAGGTGGGATGGGGGGAAAGAAGGTGGAGACCTACTGCAGGCAGCATCCCATGATGGTCCCCGAGCCTCCTGACTGCCCTGGGCACACACATTACACATCCTCTCCCCCAGGTTAAGGGCAGGACAGTGAGTATGAAAGGGTATCACTCCCAGGACTAGTTTACATCACATGGAAACAATGAAGGAGTACTGCGGATGTAAGTAAGATCCCATATCTGTTGATTTTGTGTTCATCAGACAGATGATTCTTCTGGGTGGGCCTCACCAAATCAGGTAAAAGTCCTTAAAACAGAAACTGGGCCTTCCCAAAAGGAGAAATTCTCTGCTGGTTTTGAGGAAACCTGCTGCCCAGTCGACAGAGGACCACATGCTGAGGAATTGTGGCAGCCTCTAGGAACCTCAACCGGCCCCAGCTGACAGTCATCGAGGACACAGGGACCTCAAGCCTGCACCACGAAGGACTGAACTCTGCCAACAAGCATGTGAGCATCCCTGGAGAAGGAAGCGGCAACCCCTCCAGCATTCTTCTCTGGGAAATCCCACCAAGGGAAGAGCCTGGCGGGCTACTGTCTGTGGGGTCACCAGACAGTCAGACACAACTTAGCGACTAAACAATCACAGAATATCCTCCTTTCTCAAACAGGAGAGTCAGACTTCCTATTTGTGAGTTATTAGAACCCACATGTACCAAACACACTGGAACCCAACAAAGGAGAATTAGACTCTCTTCTCAGGGAGAAAGAAATACATGTCTTGGGGAAAATGTCCAAGGGACACAGGTATTATGTCTGTGTTTGTCAAACAGGCAAAGGAGATACATCAAACAGCAGAAAACACTGAAAAATAGGTCTTGAGCTAAAACTTCCCTGAAGTGTGTGGACTTCTCGGAGCATGAAGCCCTTTGAATGAAGACTTTAAGCTGTACACAAAGATGGAATTCAATTAGGATCGGATATCAACGATGACCCTGCTTATTCCAAGTGATCTGACCAGACACTGGCTGAAGAGAGTTTAAGCTGAAAAGGAATTAGTAACGTTGTCACTAAGATTCTGACAGATGTGAATAACAGGAAGAAGAACTCTGGGGGAATCAGAGAATAAAAGTGGAAAAGAGGCTTAACGGATACAAACTGCTGACTGCTTTGATTGAATCTCATCCCAACTATGAATTCAAATAGTAGAGCTATCATTTCAGAGAAACAAATCTCTTTTAATAAAGAAAAATTACACAATGGAAAAAAAAAAAAAAAGCATGTCAGCTTGGAAGACAACCCTGAGCTCCAAAAGGAACATACAGCCTGGTGAGACCACAGCCTAAGCCACACAGAGTACGAGGTAACGGGCAGCTTTTCTTCTGAGCCACGCAGTTTGCGCTAAGTGGTCACAAAACGTAGAAAACTAATACAGCCTGTGTGTCTCAGGGATGCTTCCCAAAACCCTTCACTGCCCCGACTCTTGAGAGTCTCACTCAATACTATAAGGCAAGGCAGAACCCTTCACTGCCCCAACTCCTTTAGTGTCCCACTCAACACCGTAAGGCGAGGCAGAAAGAGGATTGAACAGCGTCCTGATCATGACCCACCTCCAGAAACTCAAACTCGTCCCCCTTAGTCAGGGCCAGTTCAACCTCCTCCTTCAGGGTCTGGATCTCACTCTTCTTCTTGAGGATGATCTGGTAAATGTTGTCGAACTTGCTGGTGACCCTCTTCTCCTCTTCCTTTATCTTCCTTGTGGAGCTGGCCTCTGAGGCATCAATGAGAGCCTTTATTTCCAGGTATTCTTGTCTCAGCTGGTCCACCTTCCTGTGTGCAGCCTCCTGAGAGGCCAGAACAAGAGGGCATCCATCAGACTGGCAGAAAGGCTCGGCCCGACACGTGGAGCACCACAAGCTCTCACCTATACTTCATGGGAATTCAGACGGGTGCAACCACTTTGGAGAGCGATCTGGCAAGATCAATGAATTTCAAGGTGTTCATACCTTATGACCTAAATCCTAGAGGAAATCAACCCTAAATATTCAAGGACTGTTGCTGAAGCTCAAATACTTTGGCCTCCTGATGCAAAGAGCTGACTCATTTGAAAAGACCCTGATGCTGGGCAAGACTGAGGGCGGGAGGAGAAGGGGACAACACATGCTTGGATGGTACCATCAACTCAGTGGACATGAGTTTGAGCAGACTCTGGGAGATAGTGAAGGACAGGGCGACCTGGCGTGCTGCAGTCCATGGAGTCATAAAGAGTTGGACACAACTGAACACCACCACCACCGCCACCTTAGGACCCAGCAACTGAGTCCAAAGAATGTACTCTAGAAAAAGGCTCTGCTCCTGAGACACACAAGAATGCTCCAAGCAGCACTGAATAGAAAAATCAAGGAAACAAGCTGAATGTCAGTCAGTAAAAGACTGAATATTATTCACTGGGATGGAATATTAAGCTATGATAAGGGAAAAACAACTTATAGAAGACACACGGTAAGATGCGCTTCACATAAGACTTAGAAACAAGCAGAATGGAATGCGTGTGCGTGCTTAGTCACTTCAGTCGTGTCCAACTCTCTGCGACCCCATGGACTCTCTGTGACTTCTGGAAGAGAGGAAGAGGGATGCAGAACGGGAGAAGCAAAGCTAGGGCTATATTCTCCTTGGCGATATTTTATTTCTTAAGCTAGAAAGCAGTTCATGAGTAGTTTTCTTAAAGGGTATGAAGCTGCCCTAGACAACTTCCTCTAGAACTGCACTACCCAATACTATAGCCACTTGCTACATGTAGCTACAGCACACTTGACCTATGGCCAGTCCAAGTTAAGATGTGAGACAGGGTAAAATAAAAAGAACATGAAGTATCTCATTAATACCTTATATTGATTAAAATAACACTTTGGATGTACTGAGTTAAATAAAAAATATTAATAAAACTAGTCTCATGTATTATTCAAATTAAAGTTATATATAAGGTTATATAAGGTTCACTTTATATTTCTACTGGATGAAGCTGCTTCACTGCTCTAGAAGCTGCAGTTTCCCTTTACAGGTTGGGTAACCTCAACAGCTCAGAATCAAACGTGACAAAGAGAAACACACAAGAGGGCCAGGGAGATTGGAATTCAATTTTTTTTTGGCCACACCATGTGACATTCAGGATCTTAGTTTTCCTACCAGGGATTTGAACCCAAGCCTCCTACAGTAGAAGCTCAGAGTCTTAATCATTGGACCACCAGGAATTCCTGAGAATTCAATTATTTCTTAAACCAGTACCTGACCCTGCCACTTCCAATGTGACTACCAATGTCCCCAAGTATTCATCCTCCTTCTCCCCCATCAGTAAGAAAACACCACTGGGTTCTGATGGGCACATGGCTGCCCAGCCACAGACTACATCTCCCAGCGTCCCCTGCAGCTGGTCACGTGACTAGGCTGCCACCTACACAATGGGAACAGAAGTGACAAGCACAACGTCTCCCGCCTTGTCCCTCCTTCTCAGAGGCTACAGCAAAATCTAATGGTGACCCAGCGGCAGCCAGAGATGAGGAAGGGCAGTAAGAAGGCAAGGTCCTGAACCCTATGGGTCACAGGCCGCAGACCACCCCACAGCCTGCCTGGGTTACGCAGGTCCAGCCCCGAGCCGTCACAGTGAGGAACATGCATAGCTATCCTATTTAAGCCTCTGATTCTGAGGGGTAGCTTTGCTGCAAGAAGTTAGCTTGCCCGCCAATCAACACAGGTATTCTCACGTGCATTCTTTCACTTAAGCCTCAAACTCACCTTCGGAAAGAGGTTCTGGAAGTGGATGGAAAAACTAAGGCTCAGAGATCTGCCAAGATGACTACAGTATCACAGGCTAGTATTCTAACCCAGATCTCATCTCATCTAACCACAGCTGTGGCAATGAAACCAGATGCTGCCACTCCACAAAGGATACTTAAAAATCAGAACTTCTCTCAATATAAAAGCACTATAACCTTATAAACATTACGAACCTGGAGGGAAAAAACCTCTCTAATTCTACCATTCCAACACTCATACTACTATTCCTTGACTATATTTCCTTCCAGTCTTTTTTCCTACACTTCCGGTAATGGGTTTAATGGTGGCTCCCAAAAAGTTACATCCATGTTCCAGAATCTGGAAGTGTGACCTTACTGAGAAAAGGAGTCTCTGCAGATGTAACTAAGGTAGAAATCTTGAGCCAAGATCATCCTAGTTTACCCAGGTGGTTCTAAAGTCACTAGCAAGTGTCCTTATTGGCGACAAAGAGCAGACACAGAGGGAGGAGGCAATGTGAAGATGGGGGCAGAGACTGGAGTGAGGCAGCCACAGGTCAAGGAATGCCTGATGCCACCAGAAGCTGGAGAGGCGGGGACAGACTCTTCCTCGGAACCTTCGGAAGGAGTGTGGCCCTGTCGACACTTTGGATTTGGACTGCTGGCCTCCTGGTGCCCATTTTACAGATGATGAAACTGAGGCAGCGGGGACAGCATGGAGGTCAAGTTCACAAGACGGAATGAGCTGAGACAGCAGCTTCAGTAAGTGGCAGATGGGGTCATTCAAACCAAGCCTCCCCCTGCAAACCAGAGAACTGAACTGTGAGAAACTACCTTTCTGTTGTCGTAACCCACGTTTGTGGTAATCTGTTACAGTAGTCCTAAAAGACAAATATACTGTTAACAAACAAATAGATGCAGGAACTTCCCTGGTGGTCTGGTGGTTAAGACTCTGTGCTTCAAATGCAGGGGACATAGGTTCAATCCCTATGTTTGAAGGAACAAAACTTCCTCCATGCTGCATGCAGCACAGCCAAAAACTAAATAAATATATGTAGCTTTGCCTTCCTGTTTCTCTCCCACTTAAACGGTAACTACTTTTTACGTTACTATGTTTTAACCTTAATTTTTAGTGATTCCTCGCACCCAGGTTGGACTCGTAGTCTAGGAAGGATCTCTCTGGGCATGTGGATTTTTGCATGCTTTGTTGAATTTTGACACTGTGAGCGAACCCAACAGGAGCCGTGTGGATGCCTCCACAGAGGCAGGGGCAGAGGCAGGCCCCGGGGCGGGGGCGGGGCGGGGCTGGTCACTCACCTGCACCTCCTGCTGCCTAGCTCTCACGTCCTCCAGCGCTCTTGACGCCCCATTGATCTGGCCGTACATGACAGTCAGTTTTTGCCTCAACTTGTTCTGCAGAGAAAATGAAATGGGTAAGAACACACCTTGTCCCAGCCCCCCAGAAGCACCCAACACCAGAGACTACCCTCAAGTCTCCCCCACAGCTGTTTCCACCACCCCAAGTCTCGCCTGCTTGCAGCTTTCTGACGCATGCTCGTACTTACGGCCTCCATCCTTTCAGGGGGACAGGACAGTGAAAAAGTTATAAGTATAGGACTTGGAGCTAGACAGACCGACTCAATTCTCAGTTGTCGAACTGTCTCTCACCAGCTTCTCTGGTCAAGAAATAGATACAGCTGTTCATAGCCTGCAGGGCTAGGAGGACGATTAACTGAAGCAGTGTGAGTCCTCAGCCTAGTGCCTGGATCTTAGCAAGGACAAACGTCCTTAGTGAATGTCAGCTTGGATTACTACAAGCTTCTTCACTAGCACCCATTTTACAGATGTTGAAACTGAGGCGGAGAGGAAAGCAAGGGAGCCAAGCTCACCCAGACAGAATGAGCTGAGACAGTCGAGCAGTAAGCGGCAAATGGAGTTGTTCACATCAAGCCTCCCACTACAACCAACCAGCAAGCAGACGTAACACTGGGGGAGGGGGCACCTACTGAAAACCAATGGGGGGCTAACAAAGACGGGGAGGATCACACAGTTAAGATCCAGAAGAAGGAAACCCAAAGAGGTAAGTCTGGCATCTGGGGTTCTCCCAGGGCCATCTGCCAGTTCCAGAACACAGCTGGGAGAGCCCTCTGTGCGCCTCAGAGAGGCAGGGGGAGAACAAAAACCAAAGTCCAAGGCTCACCTGATAAGCCCCACAGACCGAGCCCTCCAAGGGCTACACCCTGGATTAAGGATGAACTGGCGGAAAACCAGCTCAGTCCCTGAAACTGAACGAGGGTGATTCAGAATCACTAGGCCCCAGGTCATGTTCAGATGCAAAGTAAATTAGGCACCAAGGCAGCTAATGCCACCCAAGGCCTCCGAGTATTTTCATAAATTTTCATAATCACCAGCCAACTTGCACCCAACTCAGGCGAAATGCTGGGGCATAGAAATAGGTACGAAAATCACCACTACCTCCACCGTAATGACAGCAGCCAGTGTTGGTCATGAACTTACTCCAAGTCAGACACTGATCTAGTGCTTTCCACGTTATTAACTCTGTAAACCTAAAAACAACAGTAGGAGGTAGAGGGTTATCCGCCCTTTACAGATGACGTCACTGAAGCAGAATAATTAAGGGGCTTACCTAGGCCACATCGCTATTAACTGGTGTTACAAGATCCTGCTATTACAATGACAGATTTACGTCCAAACTGAGCACACAGGAAATTTCTAGGGGAAAAACATGCACGTCCCTTAACTAGCTGGCTCAACAATTCTCTGTCCTTCCCTTCCTCTCCTCTGACTCTCCCAGGTCACTGACCTTCACTCTGGATTGGAATAACCCAGTGACAGTCACATGGAAAGCCTGGAAGCACAAACCAAGGCCACACTAACTCAACCCTGAAAGCCCAAGTCACTGATGGTGTTTCAGATGTGACTTCTGTGACAATAACCTCTGACCTGGTCTCTAGCAGTGGCCAAGATAAACCGTGGCCAGAGGTGGAAGGCCAGCCCTGGGCACATCCACCCTCACAGGTCTCAGAGCTGGAAGAGGCCTCAGGACTCCTGAGGGCTGACAACTGCTTCCAAGACCCAGTCTCAGGGGTTGTTCTTATAGTTGTTCAGTCTCCCAGTTGTGTCCGACTCTTTACAACCCCATGGACTGCAACACACCAGGCCTCCCTGTCCCTCACCATATCTTGAAAGATTTTACACATATTGATCAAAGGCATACAACAGTCCCTGATGATACACAGGGGCCCACAGGGCTACAGACCAAAAGAAAGCCACCCAAGGCCTTTGAGAGCAGCTAATCAAGGACAGGGAACTTTTCAAAGTTCTGAGCATCCCTTCACAGACTGGGGACTTTGGTCCTCCAAGAAGGCACCAGAGTCCTAAGTCCACCCTACACCACTGATCAAACCCAGCTGGGCTGGCTCTGCTGCCCGTGCTGACCAGCAGCAGGACTGGAAAAGGAGACGGGTTAAAGCAGGAGTCCCCAGCCCTGGGCTGTAGACCGGTACCGGTCCAAGGCCTGCCATGAACCGGGCCGCAGCGCAGGAGGTGAGCAGCAGGCAAGCAAGCGAGGCTTCATCTGCCGCTCCCCACACTGCCTGAACCACCTCTCCCCATCTTTCACGAAACCAGTCCCTTCTGCCTGCCAGAAAGGTGGGGGGCCGCCGGGTTAAAGGACTTAGCAGGCCAGGAGATGGGGGCAGGCAAGGCTTGTCAAAAGGATTAAAAAGCCAAGTGTGTAGGGCATACAGATAACCTGGGTGCAGATTCCAGTTCCAGGCCCTGGAGGCCGAGTGGAAGCTGTGGCTCCAAACCAGACTACGACGGGTCCTTCTGCCCCTGCCTTCTGCCTCCTGGATAAGAACCGCTAGCAGGCCTTCTGAGAAGAGCCAGGCCACCCAAGTCCTCAGGCCCACACATCCCGAGAAGAAGAAAATCTGGGTAGTCTAACACCCTCCATGTAGCAAACTCTCCTCGGGGCATTTCTGAGTAACAGTAATGTTAGCAGCAGCGCTATGCAGCACTAGTAAACTATAAAAATGCCATGCATGGGGAATTCTCTGGTGCTCCAGTGGCTAAGAATCCACCTTCCAATACAAGAGACACAGGTTCAATCCCTGCTCAGGGAACTAAGATCCCATATGCCAAGGAGCAACTAATCCTGGGCACCACAACCAGAGAGTCTGTGCACCGCAACTAAGACCATCATAGCCAAAAATTAAAATAACTATTTTTTTTTAAAAGTAACTCTGATCTCTGTCAACTGAAAAAAAACAAAATACACAACCTAAAAGCTGAGAAGTGAAATGTTAGTTGCTCAGTCGTGTCTGATTCTTTGCAACCCCATGGACTGTAGCTTGCCAGGCTCCTCTGTCCTTGGAATTCTCCAGGCAAGAATACTGGAGTGGGTAGCCATTCCCTTCTCCAGGGGATCTTCCCGCCCCCGGGATTGAACCTGGGTCTCCCGCACTGCAGGCGGATTGACAGCTGTGTTTAAAACAAATAAACAAAACCCGCCATTTATGGATCACCTCATTAATCCTCCCAACACCTCCTCAGATAGGCACCATTATTGGGCCCTTTGATGGGTTCCCAGCCAGGAAGCAGAGCCAGAATTCAAACCCAGGTCCCAACATTCAGCTCTGGTCAGAGTCCAAGTCCAACCAGCCAGGCCCTGGGGCCTGCCTAAGAAGCACTTCCCAAACAGCTCAGCTCTCTGGAGCCTCCTGGCCGCCCTTGGATGTGCAGAGGGAATGCTATTAATCCCATTTTAGGGATGAAGAAGCTGACCCTCAAGAGAAATGCAATGACTTGCCCTGAACCACAGCTAATGTAAGCAGAGCAGGCATCCAGGCTCTGAAGGCCAGACAGGTTCTTTCCTGTAACAGGTGGAGACCCAGGTAGGCTGGGCCTGAGATGGTTTTACCTCCCAGGTCAACATCAGGCAAGGCCTGAGGGACTCAGGGAAACAGGCCGCAGGAACCCAGCTCAGCCTGGCCAGGCTGGCCAGGCAGGGAGGGGCCTGCCTGGGCCAGAGCAGCACCTGCACCCGAGCCCTGGAGCCACTGCAAACCTCCCCAGACTTCACGTCTCCTTAGACAGCACAAGGACAGCCCGTGTTTTCCCTGAGAGCCTGGAAGAGGGAAGAGAACCCAGGCCTCACCCTGGAGTTAGACTGAGGCAAGGCAAGAGAGTGGGACTACGCCTGTTCAGCCTCTGCCTCCATTCCAGAAGAGAAATCAGGATCCGCGAACCACTGAAACCATCTCAGAGCAAGAAGGGCCCTGAGGAATCCACCTGATGCCCCTCCTCACATTGCTGATGGGGACCAGCCCCGGCCTTTAAAGTGGCTCAGGCAGAAGAAAGGGCACAGCAAGCGTGCGGCTGGGCCTCCTGGGACCCTGCCCACCCTCCCCCTCATAGTGGTCGGTCCTCCCTGGTCACCAGAAGTCTCTGGCTCACAAAGACTTTATCTCACATGACCTCAGGAATGTTCTGTGCTCTGAACTCCAGGACTTGGCCTTCAGGCTGGTCCACCAGGAGAAACAGCAACGATGGTGTCGGACCAGCTGGCCAAGGCTTAATGGCCACTTGGCCACTTGGGTTAACTCGAGTGAAATGAACTTCTCTGAATGTCCATTTCCTATTTCCTCAGCTGTAAACAACTAATTATACCCACCACCTGGGTGCCAGGGGACCTTAAGGGAACAGAGGTAATTTCTAGCGCTCATATTTGATGTTCAAAACCCTCTACTAAACATATCAGACCACTGCTAAAGTGAAAGTGGTCACTCGGTCTTGTCCCACTCTTTGAGACGTCAGGGACTGTAGCCTGCCAGGCTCCTCTGTCCATGGAATTCTCCAGGCAAGAACACTGGAGTGGGTTGCCATTCCCTTCTCCAGGGGATCTTCCCGACCCCGGGATAGAAGCTGAGTCTCCCGCATGGCAGGCAGATTCTCTACCGTCTGAGCCACAGGGAAGCCCCAGACAACTGCTAGGCTTAATGCAAACAACATACCACCCGTCTTCAGTAGTTCCCTCTATAAAATGGGTGAATGGGGTGAGCCACGAATACGAGGGCTGTATGTTCTCACGGCCCCTTCCACCTGGACACTGGCTGTGCCCCTTGCCGCCATCTCAGGCACAGCAAGGCCTGAAGGTGCCCGTCCACCGCACCCACGGGATCCGCCTGGTCGGCCACACTGCCCACAGCGAGGCCCTGCGCACCACCCAGCCGGCCCAGGCTGCCTCTCGGCGCCCCGGCCCGCCGCCCCCTACCTCCAGGTCGGTGCTGGCCTCGTTGAGGGGCGCAGGAGAGCAGGTCTTGTGGTCCACCACGCAGACGTGGCAGATACACTCGCTGTGCTCGGGGCAGAAGTAGTCCCGCATGCGGTTGTGCCGGGCGCACTTGCGGCGCATCAGGTCGCGGACGGGCGGCTGCAGCGGGTGGTCCTGGAAGGCGGGGCTGTCCAGGTGCGGCCGCAGGTGCTCCTGGCAGAAGGAGGCCATGCACACCAGGCACGTCTTGACGGCGGTGGCCTGCAGGCAGTGGTCGCAGGCCACCTGGCCGGCCGCGCTGGGGGCGGCGGCGCGCGTGGGTGGCGTCCAGCCGTCGTCGGCGAGCGCGGGCCGGGCCTGCTCCGCCTGCAGGAACTGCTCCACCACCGCGCACAGCACCGTGTTCTTGCGCAGCTGCGGCCGCGCGGGGAAACCGGTGCGGCAGTGCGGGCACAGGTACGGCGCGCCCTGGACGGCCCACGTCTCGTCCAGGCACGCGCCGCAGAAGTTGTGGCCGCACGGCGTGGTGACCGGGCCCTTGAAGGGCTCCAGGCAGATGGAGCACGACAGCTCCTCGGCCAGCGGGCACAGCTCCGCCATGGTGCGTCGGGGGAGCCCAACGGGACGCGCGGGGATGCGGCGGCGCAGTGGCCGCGAGGCCGCCGAGGAAACGAAACCGAGCGGCGGGGCGGGGCCCCCGGGCTTCCAGGAAGTCACGTGGGGCGGGCGGGGCGCGCCGGGCGGGGGTGCCCGGGGGTCCCCGAGGTCCCGGCCGCCGCGCCCGGGCCCCGACGACGGGCGCGGGGCGCGGGGCGCCGGGCTTCGGGCGTTGAGACCGGCCTCTCGGCCCCCCGGGCGTTTCCCGCGGCCGCGCGGCGGAGGAGGAAGCGGGCGCATCGCGGGGAGTGAACCCCCGATCCCGGGCGCGCCGGGGGCCCCGGGCGGACGCGCGTGCGCGGGTCCCTGTCCTCGGGGAGCCCGGCCGGACGCCAGCCGCCCCCGCCGCCCCCGCGAGTCAGGCGGGCTTCTCGGATGGACCTGTGAAAAAACCTACAGTAAGGGCTTCCCGGGTGGCCTCACTGCCTTTTTAAAATTGTATTTATTTCATCCTTCCTTTCTTTTCTCTGGTTCTGGCCCTGGCGTTTGGGCAACACGATCTCCGCAGGCTGGAACCTCTGGTCACACACTGAGGCTTCAACTTGGCGATTTCTTTTCCCACCCCGGGATGTAACAAGATTTCCCCTCCACGCCCCGCCCCGCCTTCCACCTTCCTGGAGTTTGGTCTCACAAAAATCTCCTGTCTCATACATACCCACTTTCACGTGCACGTGTGCACGCACACAAATATAATTCTGAGACATTGTTCTCAAAATTGTTTAGAGTTATTTTCTTCTACTTCCTTGTAGCTTTGTTTTCCTGCCTGCTCTAGCCTCGGTGCAGGACGAGTGTGTGTACACTAGGGGAGATGTGTTCAAGAAAGGAGATGCGGAGCGAGAGGAAAGGTAGTGCTTCGGAAGGAGTGAACTGGAGTTTACTTTGGGGACAGGGTGGGAACCAAAAAGGGGGGAAAGGCAGATTCTAATTCTGATCACTACCATTTATCAGTACCTCTGGGCGCTAGGCGAGTCATAGATACCCTTATAATCTCCCATAATCCTTGTTAGCACTATAGGAGGGACGTCATTATGTCCATTTTAGAGATGAGGGTCACGTATTTCATACAAAAGAGGACTGGGACACTAGCTCAAGATTGCTTTATTCAACATCCTGATTCCAGCTTTCTCTAACTATTGCTCCAGGACTATTCACCCCATTTCTTCTCTTTCATATTGCGATGTTATTTGTATGAGAAAAAGAAAGAAGACAGAAGAGGGTAGGAAATTAAGATTGATTTATTTATTTAGTATCTAAATCCATGAGGTATAAATACCTTATGGTACAGATGAGAAAGCTGAGGCTTAGAGAAACTAACTTGTCTAAGGTAATGATTATTGGTATCCAGACTATGATTCCAAAAACCAAGTGTGTCCTACTATAAAATGTTGTCCCCCATGGGGAGCATTTTCCAGGAAATAAACATTATGAAATTCCCTCTGACCTAGCTCTTGTGGGTGAGGTGACCTGACTCATGTCAGAATGCTTGTTGAACTCTCCTTCCAGGAAGAGAAGTTTAGAAAGGCTGATTCGTCAGTGAATAACATTAGGAGGGACATGGGTTATTATCAAATTCCATGCAGTAGCTATTTACTAAGACCTACCTAAATACATTCCATTATGGAGAGAGAATATACTTTGTATTATTTCAATCCTTTAAATTTATTGAGACCCAAATGTGGTCTGTCTTGTCATTGGTTGCTATTTGTGTAGTTTCTCTTTTTCTATCCTTTTATTTTCAATCTATTTGTGTCTGTGAATCTAAAGTGTGGTTCTTGTGGACTGTATATGGTCAGATCACGTTTTTTTGTGATCCTGCCAAATTGGAGCATCTGCCCCGTTTACATTAAATTCCTCAGAAGATAGGATTTTTATCTGTCATTCGCTACCTATTTTTATGTCATATATCTTTTTGCACTTCAGTATCTCCATTAGTGGGTTTCCCTGGTGGCCCAGCCACAAAGAACCCGCCTGCCAGTGCAGGAGATGCGGGTTGGATCCCTGGGTTGTGAAGATCCCCTAGAAAAGGAAATGGCATCCCATTCGAGTATTCCTGCCTGGGAAATTCCATGGACAGAGAAGCCTGGGGAGCTACAATCCATGCGTCACGAAAGAGTTGGACATGACTTAGCAACTAAACAACTTCCCAATTGCTGTGTTAAATATTTTCAAGTAAACTGTTTTATTCTTTTGTCATTTCTTTCAATATTCTTTCCTCCCTCCTTCTCTCTCCTCTCCTTTAGGAATTTCCATCATGTGTATGTTGATAAGCTTGTTGATGTCTCACAGGTCTTTGAGCCTGTATTCATTATTCTTTTTCTTTTCATTCATTATTCTTTTTCTTTCCTGCTTCACCGACTGGATTGTCTCAGTCTATGTCCAGATTCGTGAATTCTTTCTTCTGCCTGCTCAAGTCTGATGTTGAGTCCCTCTGGTGAATTTTTCATTGTAGTTATTGTACTTTCCAAAACCAGAGTTTCAATCTGGTTCTTTTTAAGAAATAATAATAATTTCTGTTTCCATACTGATACAATAAAGAGACATCATTCTCATGCTTTATTTCTTTAGACATGATTTCCTGATGTTCTTGGAACATATTTTGCGTAACTGATTTAAAAAATTTTTCTAGAAAGTTCAACATCCGTGCTTACTCAGGGACAGTTTCTGGTCTTTTTTCCTTATATGGGCCATGGCTGCTTCTTTGTATGTGTCATCAATTTTTGTTCAAAACCGGACATGGACATTTAAAATAATACAGTGTGGTACTGTGGACACCAGATTCCCCCATTCCCGGGATTTGTTGTTGTGGCCATTTGTTGTTATTTGTTTAGTGACTTTTCTGAATTAATTCTGTGAAGTCTGTATTCTTTGTCATGTGTTGCTCTTAACTCTGCTTGTTTAGCTTCGTGATCAGCCAGTGATTAGATATGAATTTCCTTAAATCCCTAAATCCAGGCCCGGTGTTTTCTAAGGGCTTGGCGTTATTTGCAGACTACTACTTCTTGAGATTGCCTTGGAGCTAGGGTGGGGATATTGGGAAAAGGTCAAGTTAAAACCCCACAAAACTTGCTGTTCTTACCAAGATTCAGCCACTTTCTTTGAGTAAGCATTTTTCTGAATTGTTGCAAGCTTTTTGCTAATTTATAGAGTGCTGAAAACGTTTATCCTCAGAATTTTTGCTAGTTTTCTTTTATAGAGGCAGAATTTTCAGAGGTCTTTATTTCTGCCATATAACTCTTAATGTCAGTAGAATCTGGCAGTTACCCCCTTTCATTCCTGATATAAGTAATCTGTGTTTTCTTTCTTTTTTCTTGGTTACTCCATCTACTAGATTATTAATTTATTAATTTTTTCAAAGAACCAGCTTTTGGCTTTAATTTTCTCTATTTGCTGTTTTTTTCATTGATTTCTTCTCATAGCTATTATTTCCTTCTATTTACTTTTGGTTTAGTTTGCTCTTTTTCAAGTTTATGAAGTTGGAACATCAGATCAATATTGTTAAACTTTCTTTTCTAATATAAATGTTTATAAATCTCTCTCTATGCATTGTTTTAGTTATATTCCAAAAGTTTCGATATGTGTATTCTCACTGCTATTTCATTCAAAATATTTTCTAATTTCCTTTGTAATTTCTTCTTTGTTACTGTAATTTCTTTCTAATTACTTATAAGGATATGGCTTCATTTCCCAATATCTAGCACTTTCCTGGATATCTTATTGTTATTAATTTCTAATATAATTCCATTTTAGTCAGCTCTATTACTTAAGATGTTTGTCTTTTGAAATATGTTGAGACTGACAGGATGTTAATTTCTTCAATGTGATGATGAACTTGTCTGTTTCTCACTTTGTATTTGCCCTGCACCCCCCATGTATTCTGAAACTTTGTTATTAGGTACTGTTAGGCATTGAATTGTGGGAATTGTGTCCTTACACAATATATGTTGAAGTCCTAACCCTTGGTGTCTATAAATGTGACCTTTGGAAATAGAGTTTTGCAGCTGTAATCAATTAAGATGGGGTCATTCAGTTCAGTTCAGTCACTCAGTCGTGTCCAACTCTTTGCGACCCCATGAATCGCAGCATGCCAGGCCTCCCTGTCCAACACCAACTCCCGGAGTCTACTCAAACTCACGCCCATTGAGACGGTGATGCCATCCAGCCATCTCATCCTCTGCCGTCCCCTTCTCCTCCTGCCCCCAACCCCTCCCAGCATCAGGGTCTTTTCCAATGAGTCAACTCTTCGCATCAGGCGGCCAAAATATTGGAGTTTCAGCTTCAGCATCAGTCCTTCCAATGAACACCCAGGACTGATCTCCTTTAGGATGGACTGGTTGGATCTCCTTGCAGTCCAAGAGACTCTCTAGAGTCATCTCCAACACCACAGTTCAAAAGCATCCATTTTTTGGCACTCAGCTTTCCTCACAGTCCAACTCTCACATCCATACATGACCACTGGAAAAACCATAGCCTTGACTAGACAGACCTTTGTTGGCAAAGTAGTGTCTCTGCTTTTTAATATGCTGTCTAGCTTGGTCATAACTTTCCTTCCAAGGAGTATTTAGGGTGGCCCTAATTTGGCATGATGTAAGATGACACTGAAGTCAGAGACTGAACCGCTGTAGCTGAAAGCCAAGGAACACCAAAGATCGCTGGAAAGTCATCTTAAGCTGCGAAGAGGCAAGAAAGGAGACTGTCTTAACAGATTCCGGAGGAAACATGCCTTCTGATACCTTGATTTCAGGTGTTCAGCATCCAGAACTGTGAGTGAATAAATTTTTGTTCTAAGTCTTCTAGTTTGTGGTACTTTGTAATGGCAACCCTAGGAAATTAATACGAGTACATACACATTAAGGATTTTATATATTTCATGGTATTTAACCCCTTGAAAGTCCACCTTTATGTCTCATAATAATCTTTCTCTTAAAATCTACTTTGTTGGGACT